GCATGTAAGACTTCCTCTGTGAGTGTGAATACTGCTGTAAATGGGATAAAAATCAGTTGACCTAAATGGTGCCAGTACTTGTTCACGGACATGTTTGCACTGACATATAACTTCTTCCCCTGTAAATAAAGCTGAAAAAACTGACGACTTCAGCTGAACAGAGCTCTGACTCAGCCTGAGGAATTACCGTAACTAAAACCAACAGCAGCAGTGGATTGTTCATCATCATGTGAATCTCACATACAGAAATTTTGTGGTATTATTAAACTGATCATTTACAGCCTCAGGGTATATTTATCAGTATTAGTGCCTTGTGGACGGCATAGTTCTGATACGTTTAGTGCTGCTGCCACAAAGCTCTTGGATTCTGGGTCTGATTCCTGTTTTGGTATCTTCTATGTGGAATGTACAGTACCCCATGTACCCCTGTTGGTTTTCACCAAATACCCATGTTTCCTCCCCCTTTCCAAGACCTTACAAGACATGCAGGTTAGTTTTGATTGGATACTCTAAACTCTCCCCTCAGAATATGACCTTGTTCACGTTATCTGGCCAATTAGGGCTTGAAATATTTTATCCCAAACACATGTGCTTCATAAATATATGTGTCACAGGTTTGCACAAATCTACTGCAGTTTATACTTGATACAAAGATTCCTCCTTGTACAATATGGGATGTGATTCTGGACTGAAATCTCACCTGGTTATTCAGTATCTTGATGATTACAGTGTCTCAATAATTTACTGTCATTTGCACAACTTTAATGACCTAAACAATATATACCATGAAAGACTCACACACGCTTATACTACATACAAATAAATTGTTGAGAAAAATCAATGGGCCTGTTATATTCTAAAATCATTGTGTTAAGTCTACAGAGTCATCCTTCAGGGCATAAATTTGTTATTTAAACACATTGGTGTTTCCTCTATTTTAACTTGGAGTTGTTATAACAGAATCTCTTGGGAATGTGAACTGTACCCATTTCCAACAGGAGTGAGGAGCTCCACATGCTTAACCTACTCTGAAGAGTTTTAGTTCTCATGAACATCAAGTCAAGTGGTTGTGGGACTCTGGAACATGTTAGCAAATACTGTGGCTTCCTTCTAGAAATACCTGGATGATATCCTCTGATAAAACGCCTTGCAGAAACAAAGTGAGCTAGATTTGAGAAATGGCCTTCTGTTATTTGTTCCCTTCCATACAGTATGTTCTTTTCATGTGAGTATATGTACTGTAAAATGTCAAAGATACCAAACAACAATACAGCCGATAAACAATGTTACTCATGCATCCATAGATCCTTTACACCAACCCACCTAATGGGTGGAAGCAGCCCCCCTGTTGGCAAACAACTGTTGACCAAAAACTCTTTTGGCACTGACACGTCTAATGAAATGACTAGGCGCTCCGATCCTTTCGTATTTAGTTGATTATGTGCACCTGCCTCTTGTTTTGTCTCACTATTTAAGCCTGACGCTCTCGCTATTCTTGGCTCAGCATTGGGAAATGGACTCCCGGAAGCCCGCCTACCAGCCCGTCCTGGAGTGACCCGATGGCATAGGCTTCATCACAGCATCCTGACCATCTGAGTCCGGGTCTCAGAGAGCCTGACCTCGTTACCTTGGTTTTATTCCCTGTCCCTGTTCTGGATTTTAACCTTGTTTGTATCGTCTTGGATGGATCCCCCGGTTTTGGACTTTGGACTGTCTGGATCTGTTTGCCCTTGTCACATCCCCCGAGCACCGGATCACTGTCGTCATGCCCCCCTGTCTGTCTACCCATCCTATCCTGCTGTACCTTCCCCTGATGTTCTTCTCCACTTACTTCCAGATTATACCGTCTGCATAGCATCCTGAACTACACTTCACGGGAGCCTGGACCAGCTCTTGTTATATACATAACATGTCAGATTCAGCTGATGGAGCTATGAGCATGTACAGGCAAGGTGTAATAAAACAAAAGAAAGCAAGGCAGAGGGCTGTGAAAAGACAATTTCTTTGTGGGGTTAGAGATACACTCGGATTCTAATTTTTCACCCATACCTTGAAGGACCAGTTCATCCTAAATAGATTCCAATTTACCGCTAATGAATGTTATGTACACACTGGGATTACCTGTGTGTACATAACACACAGGTAATACCTGCTGGTATTTTCTTACTTAAATTAATTGCCAAGCAACATCAAGCAGATATAAACTGACCTGGCCCTGTACAATATAGTTTTGAGTTCCAACTATTTAAAGTGGCACCTAGTGGTGCTAATTGAATTGCCATGTGGATTTTCAATTGTAGTGAAAAATATTTTCTAGGTGCTATTAGTTTTTTTGGGGGTGTTGTTAGTGAATGAGACAATTGTTCTGTCTGTGTGGATGTAAGATTCATTGTACTGTAGTTAATTGTTTTGTACTGTTGGGTATACCCTGCTGCAGAACATCTTGTCAGAACAGAGCTGCATTGTGTTCTACAGTATGTGTGCTAAATATGTGGGACCCAAGAGCTTGTAGGTAGTAAAAGGCCTTGAGTAAATACATTTCTAAAATACAGTATGTCATCTGGCTCTGTGGTGATCATGTTCATTGATTTGAATTGTATCCTGGGGAAGTTGTTTGTGATTAATTATAAAATGTTTAGTGGTTAAATGGTGTTACTTAATAATGACAACAGAACAGTTTGTGATCACAACACAAGTATTGTGTACTTGGATTGAAGTATGCTACAATCCAACGGCTATGCTATTTTTGCAGAAGTCTGATTAGATCTGTGAGTAGGATTCTGTAGGAATGAATTGCCATGCTGTTTCTTACGTAGATTTAGCTTTCTTGCGGTGACGTAAGCTAAAATGTAAACTTTCATATGTGCTACAAAGTGGGTTTTAGAATGCTTAGCTATGAAAGTGACAAAAGCCACACTCTTAATCTCATTTGTGTTTATTGATTGTAATGGTGTTGTATCTGAAGAGTTAAACTCATATACCTTCATTCCTGCGTGGCAGCAATATCCTTCTATTTTTATAAGAGCTCAATAAGTACATTTCTTAATAGGAAATAAAGTTCTATTCAGGTTTCAAGGCATATCGTAGGTACAGATTGGTTTAAAGATATAGATACACAGTAGATCCGATTTACAGTAAATACATCTCTTAAACTGTGATACATAAAAGTATTACATTTACTACATAAAGTAGTGAATTTACTACAGAAAACTACTACATTTATTACAACAACCTAGATTGTTAAGATTATTTGGGAAACTATGTTGTCTGATGTAAAATGGAAATGACATATTTCTGGTTTTGTTTGTCCAGCTACCTGTAGTGAATGCAGAAATGATAAGACAGCATGGCTCCTGTATGACTTTTCTGGGACTGAATTTATTCTGTGAACTGTAATCCTGTAAAAGGGCCTTTTGATATGTAGTGTGGAATTTGAAGCAGCTATATCATTTCTGTGCTGTCTGAATTAATGTGCATTCCCATAAATGACTAGCCATTACAAACTCTGTGATTTACAAATGAAATGTCTGGCTTTGCCCAGGATTTTTAACCCTATGCACAATAATGCATAAAGAGAAAACTTTGTTTTGAAAATTAAATGTCTAAGGTCTGTTATATTCTTGAAAGAAATAGAATCACTGTAGGACTTAGTACTGTAAACATTAATGTAACAAATGTAATTTAAGGGATTCTGGTATTGACCATTTCTTTAGATAAGAATGAGACTCAAAACAGCAGGTATTATAATTATCTGTATACTATATATATAGAATGTATATATATATAATAAACTGACATCAACTGGTATGTACAATTGTTAAACACAATCTATAGTTACAATGTAGGCATGGGAATCAATTTACTCTAAGCTGCCAGTGTTTTGACTGTTATGAAAACTTTAGTATGGGTTGATAAACCATGGCTGCGATTTAAAACATTCTAAGTTCATGTTGATCAGTAGCTTCCAAAACATGATCACAACATATACAAATTAAATTAAATGTGATCAGACAGAATGGTGTTTTGCAGTAGCTAACCCATCACTTTTAATAGTAATGTCGAATTGTCTAGTTGTCAGGTATTTCGTGCCATTGACATTATATGACATTATAAAGACTTCTTTTTGCATGACAAAAAAGTACTGAACTGTTAGCTGAAAAGTCTGAAAATAAGATCACAACAGGAATATTTTCACGAGTCGGTAATATTGAAAAGAACAGAACAACGCAAATCTGAAACGGTTTGCGGTTTTTTTTCTTGGTACAACTGATAATGGAGTATTGACAAGAAAAAACAGATAAACTTTGAAGTCAGTTACACCCACTTTACAAACAGAAACATTATTTTTTAAATTTCGCTATACATACTTAAAAGCGTTTCGGAAGTTCCCATGCTAACTGCTCTTTTTAACATTAACATACAGTATTCCTTATTGTGATGTACATATTGGTGGTTGCCACTGTAGCAATATCACACCCCTTGCTTTTTTCCCCCTGTTTGGCAAATGCCCCCCTCTACAATGCATACTGTATTATATGGGCAATTTGCCCAGAGGGAAAATCGGGTCATTTTTATTTCTCTATGTAATAAACATTTTTTCCTAAAGAATGCAGTTTGGACAATTGAACGATACGTTTATTGTAATAAAGTTGCAATTAATTAGTAATTAAAATTAGATATTATACTTCTAAAAATCATAGTTTGTATTTTAGAAAAAAAACGAAAATTTACTTCCGAAGCAAAGCTGTTTTATTTTTTTTAATAATATCTACCGTATTGTTAACATAGTTTATTGGGTTGGCATATCACGAGCTTAATTTTGTGTTTTTCGTTGACAGCAAATATTTATTCTCTGTTTAACAAGATACAGTACAAATCGAAATTATTCGAAATAACTTTTCAGATTTACACTATGGTTAGGATGATGTCTTGCAGGGAAAAAAGGTAACTATGACAACCGGTTCATTCCGGGAGAAAACAAACTTCTAATTGTGCATAATTTTTGAGACGCACAATATAAACAACAAAACTGTTGGACATTAACACTTTCCGAGCGTCACACGTCAAACGTGTAAAAACAAGTAATTACCGTATCTACAGCATCTCAGTAAATACAGTACCCCTTTTTGCTCTAGCACATTTAGTTATTACCTAAAGTTGGTCTCCCGAGGGCATTTTTTTTAAAGTTTTGTGCACACCTTGACAGCTAAAAAAATGGGCGCGGCTGTAACCGCAACCTCGCTACACTGCGTTTAGACTTGTTGGTGAAAGCGCAGTGAAAAAAAGGAAAAAGTAATTAATAAACGGCAAAGCACAAGCATTCCTGCAAGATCAGTCAGCAGCAGCCCACCTTTCCACGGACGGGATACAAAAAGTGCTGGAAAAGGGATCTTTATCTATAAGAAATAAAAAAGGTTTGGGGAACGGACATCTGCGGACGCATTTTCTTGGATTATTAAGGCGATAAAGGTATGAATTATTTTGCACATTGTAGGTCGTTTAATTATATGCCCAAAGAGCAATATACTTATAAATGTTCATGTAATATTTGTTTTTGCTTCGGAAATTTGATTTGTGGCGCCTATTTGTGTTTCCATTCGATTTACAGATTAATGTTTTTTTTGGTTGTACTGTATTTAGTAATCAGTACTCTCCAAACGCTTGAAGAATGCCTTACTCAGCCTGACTTGTTTTGAATGTCGTCGTCCACCTGTTCGCTCTTTACCACGCTGTTTAAAACTGTAGCTCCTGCGCTTCTTGAATAGCCGTTGGTTTTTCGAGTAATCTTTCTGTAAATATTTTGCTGTTCATCTGTTCTTCTTAATTTTTATGATTACAAGCTTTTGACACTTTTTCTATATTGTAACCTATAAATGAAATCCCATGTAGGGAATAGGTTTATTAGATTATAAAACTTTATGAAAAACATCTGAAAAATGGGGAAATAATTGCTGTTTCGAGGTTTTTGATTTGAGTTTTACGGTATGTGACTATATTATACTGTGTATTATGTAGTACGAAACGTACTATAGCACGTAATATTATGAAGGCTACAATGTAGATTGGTGCAAAAACATTACATAAGAAATGTCTTTCATTGCTGCATGTAGCCATCAATTGTGATTCACCTGTTTTTAAATACAGATTGCAAACAGATGTTAAAATCTGTTTATTCTAAACAAGAAGCACAACCAAAAGCTTTTCTACTGTTTAATTTAAAACCTTAGGAGAATGTACAGTATGACACATTAATTTAATGTACTGTATATGCCAAGCAAATGTGCTCTGATCCAATAAGTGATTAATTTTGGTGTATAAAAATCCTTGAAAATCCTTAATAATACCAAACCTGGAAAATACTGACACATATTCCAGAGTATGAAGCAAAATGTTCTAGAGTATGATTGAACTATTGTTTTATTTTTATTTACAAAAAACCTTTAACTTCAGCACACAGCTTTGAACCCATCTAATATTTCTTAGCTGTTAAAGGCATGCAGATTATGAGCACAAAATAATGTTTCTTGTTTATTTTGGCATGTTTTGTACTTGCCATTATTAATAATACAGTAAATGTTTTTTTTTGTTTCTACTCAAATGCTAAAAGGTTCTCTTTGTGCAAATTTTGTTCAAAAGAGTGATTCTGAATGGTAATAATTACTAACTAAAAAAATAAATCTAAATAAGAACACCTTATGTGCACTATAGAATGTATTTATGCTCTGTCTAGTGGTCTCTGGACAAGTAATTTGCAGAGAGGCTCTATTGTTCATGCTTTCTGATAGCTTGTAACTCAATATGAGCAGATAACTGTCTCCCTGCACAATTAGAGAACTTCACAATTATCTCCAGTGTGAGTATGTGTCTTTTTATTAAGAAATTTGATTATTTTACTGGAGTAGAAGTTAAGTAGTATCTATTAAAATGTGAGCAGGTATTCTTTATAATGATATTAAACACATCAAATAGTGTGTTTTCTTTGGGTGCTCCAGTTTTCTCTCTCAGACATTCTGGTATGGCTGTGTGTGCATGTCTGTGTCTGCGTGTGCCCTGCGATGGACTGGATGGAACCGCGTTGATAATGTTCTGATTTATCTTATTAATGAATAGATTGAGACAATCATTTTTCTATATTTTTTAGTCATTGTTAGATTTTAGATGTCATTGAAGGCATAGAACAGTCGGTTGTTGTTTGTTTCACAAAATAGATTGTTTTTAAAACCTGTCATCTGTTCTGACAGACTTACTACTTAATACTTGCCTAGGAAATGATGATTTCATTGTACTGTTCTTCTAAAAATATATTTTCACATTAATGTGCTGTACACATTATAGGGAGGTGTTGGAATTCCAATATCAACTGAGAATCGTATGATATTTTGTATGGGAACCAAAATTTTGTGAGACATAAGTTTGGAATTGTAGTTGCCACATAGATTCTCCTTCATGAAATCCACTTTGTGGAAATGCAATGGTGGAAAACGATTTTCAGAGCATTTTGGTCATGATTTTATTTTCATCAGGCCTTTGCAGCAAATATTAGGTCTAAGTATTGAAATTCATTTTAAGGAGTGCAAGTATCTAGGTTTTGTTTGATTGAAGTTTTGTTTAATATTTTGTATTATATTATAGTCCTATAATATATAGTTTACTCACTTTAAAAAAGGGGATTTTATGAGTGTCCGTGCATGTACACTTGTAAAGCCTCCCTGCCAGTTTTGGAGTATTTTAATCCTTGTACCGTGAATACTTTACAGGGTTGCATCCATTGTTCTGTACTATTGTTACCAACATCTTTTGAAGTGGTGTGGGTATGCCTCCAGCCTCCTATCCTGGTATTCTGAGACAGAAAGATTGCCCACTCAGAAGTTTGTTTTGGAAAGAAAAAGGCCTTCTTTTTATAAAGAATAGTTGGTTGCCAGTTGTTCTTCAGACAGAACTCTATTGAAGACAATAAAAAATATTTCCATAGTGACACACATTTAAGGAGCCCCTCCCTTGTCCTCAAATGATAAACAAAGTGAAAAAAACTCCACATTATTCAAGATCTGTTGCAATCTTACACTAAAAAGTCTATTAACTTTCTAAAATGGACTTGGCACTTTTTATTTCGCTCACACTTGCTAGAGGTAACTAGGTAAATACTGTATTTGTAACAAGAAGGTTGTTGGTTCAAATCCCCTGTGAGACACTGCTGTTGTGCCCTTGAGCAAGAGCCCTCATCTGAATTATTCTATAATTATTCTAGTAAAATGTCCTGCTTAATAACTGGGTGCAAATGTAAATGTATTTTGATAAATAAATCAGCCCAATACATATACTACATCCTGCACATATAACATTTTAACTCTTAATTTTGCTCTTGAAGCACAGGAATGTGACACCATTATAGTTTAAATGTCACAGAATGGCATGACACTCTAATTGATTTGTAAGTAGTTGAATGTTTTATAGCATCTACCCACATGTCAGAGTTGTCTTTCACAGTGACAACCTGTTCAAATCAGTTCCATCACATTCTCAAGCAAGGGACCATCAGTGACTCTGGGTTTCAAAATCAGGAAAGAACTGGTTAAGTGCCAAATGTCTGCTCACATTTTCTATTACTGTGTTAATGGAATACCAACATTTGGCTGCCTGTGGATCTAATTGAAGATCTGAAATAAGGGTGTGGTGCTCTTTGTGTCCTGGAACACTACACCAGTAGTACAATTGCAATCTATTGTTGTACAAGTCCAAAGGGACTTGTAATTCAGTACAGACAGAACAAAGTTTTCAAAGATTTTTGGTCTCATATCTTTAGTAATATACCAACCCCATCCAGATTGTTAAAAAGTGCCTTAACTACTGATTACCTCGAATAAACCTCAACAAGTTGGAGGAATAATAATTTGTGTGCTTTATGAAAGAAAAATGAACACAAATAAAACAACATTTAAAGAATGTTTTAAGTCTGGTGCTATAGCATAATCGCAATCATAATCTTTTTCCTCTGGAAAACTGCACTTGATAGTGTGGAGGTGCTATAATGCTATTATAAGAACATTCATTCCAAACTGTTTTTTTTTTTTGTAATGGCTGCTCATAACAGTGGTACGAACATTTCATCAGTATGTAATGATAATGTACAACAATTCTTATACATCTGCTGTAGACAGGACAGTGCTATGGTTAACCACAAAAGCTAGCTTGAGAAGACCTGGCATGCACCTGAATCAATGTGGACAAACGGTGTGGTTAATTTTTCCAGACAGTGGGAAAACACAATTATTTGTCTTGGTGGATTGCTACACTGCTTTGTGCTACTGAAAGAAAAAACACAGTGTTGCACAGTGAGCAAATAACAATGTTTACTGTATGGACTTTTCCTGCTGTGTACATTGTATTATAATACACAGTGGAGTCCAAGTTCCCATCTTCTGATGTTCTCTCAAAACGTCTTTGCAATAGTTGAAAGAACTCAGTATATAATTAGGTTTATGCTGAAGTTAATCTTCTATTTATTACAATGTTACTTGCTGCACTTTTAAAAACCGCTGAGCAATAAGGCACACAATAGAGAGCAATAAGGCATACATTAGAATACGGTCTTTCATTATGCTCAGAAATGGTATTTGCAATATTATTTGATTAAATAATGTAGATGTAGTGAAATGTTTAGAGTACCCTTTAATAGTAATATAATTAATAATTGACATTAGTAATAATTTAGAGTAGTCTGAGTATTTGAGGTTTTGAGAACTGTTACTCTCACAGATCACTCTCACCTGAGTGTAAATGGGTGATAATCTGGTTTGATACAGAACTGCATCAATACCCATCATATTGAGATTGAGCTAAGTAAACATTATAATCCCCGGTAAATACTGTAAACCCTGGTACTTGGAAGTAACTTGTTTTTGTGTGCATGCAAGTCAGTGGTGCAGGATTAGAGAGGTTATAGGGGATTAAAGACAGATTTCAGTTTACATTTGGCTTTGAAATGAAATTCAGTCAAGTAAAAAAAATAAATAAATCACTTTACTAAATCAAGTTTAATCTAAGAGTTATGAGGCAGCAGACCTTAAGGTAACATTGTACTTAAGTTAAGCAGTGCTTTCCAAGATTGGTCCTAAAATAACTCTCTGTAGTGGTTTAATTCCAACAGTGTTTAATCAATTAATATAATTGAATCCTTAATTGAACCAATTAATTTTTTTAACAATTTCTGCATTCAGCTCAGACTAATCTTTACATACAATTTAAAGTCATTATAAACTTTTTATACAGTGTAAACTTTACGCAGTCATTTTCAAGATATTAAACAGAACTAAGTTGGTTTACAATTATTTTTGCGTCATATTTTTTAACAGCAATTAGTGTTAGTAATTTGTCAGTTAATGACGTGTAGATTTAGAACACGTTGTCTTAATTATTGTTATAAATCAGCTCTTTGGTAAATTCGTTGCAAAAAGTGGAGAGAGACAAGAGCTGAAGTTCAGTATCTGGTAAAGGATTCAAGCTCATTTATAACCTTATCATATCATATAAGAACTTAAACTGTTGTAAAACCACAAATAAACAATCAGTTTAAGAATTTGAATTATCCAGACTAATGCTCCCATGTAATAAAAAACACAGAAGTCACAACGGCGCTCCCGGAGCTAAACCGTGAAAAACTGATGTAAAGAAATACTGCCTACTAGTGGACAACTGTCTCTGCTACACCGAAAGACCTGTACGTAATACTTGTTAACATTTTTTAACTGTTTTAGACGCTGGGAGCACACGTTTCACATTTCTATAATGGCATTTGAATTACTCTTGTGAAGTATAGTAATAAATAACATTTCAGATTAGTGATGTTTAATGTTTCTTTAAGTAGATTAATAGTTTTACACAATATTAAAATGGTAACAATTTAAATAATTTCTCTAAATTTGTATTTTAGTAATGCTTTATTTTAAATGTCCGCCTGAATATTAAATACATATCTGAAATATTCCATAAATGTCCATAAACACTGCCAGTCTTTGGATCAAAGGCCCTTAAGAGACCTACTAATAAATTTAATTTGAATTATTGAATTGTTTTCAGTTCCTCACACATTCCAACATAGGATGATGCCTTTTATCTTTTGCCTTTTTTTACCTTTTAAAACCTAACCTCAGAAAGGCCCTGACCAAGCAGCTTTTTGGTTCATTCAAACATCCATTTAAGTCAAGACATCAGCTGCAATAGAAACCAGTCAGTTTCTATCCTCAGGATCAGGACTGGCAACCTTTGTTTTGGATTGTGTGGTATCTTCACTCCTTTTTATCTTCTTCTGATTTCTTTATGTGATAGTAGAGCCATACTGCTTCTGTGTACTTGTTCAATTTTGGCATGTTTGAATTATTTTTGTGACTTGGGTGATAGCATTTTGAAATGTATCGTTGATGTTTAATTTGTCATGTATATACTGCATTTTGACTTGTGTGGTCATTTATATTATATAATTATATTAAAAAACAAACCATTATTGTAGGGCATTACCAACTGATTAATTAAAGCCATCATGTACAGTAATTCATAAGTAAGTACAAGAAACATTTTGTAAGTAACATTGCTTGTGAAAATATTTTTGAATTGAAGGTAATTTGTAGGAATATGGTCACAATTTACTTGGCTATTGCGCCTGACAATGAAATGACTGAAGACAGAAGGCATGACGATAATGTGAAAGGCTCTGTACAAGGCTCATATTGTGTTTCCACACTAATAGTTGTGGACTTACTGTATAACTAAAAGGCTGTGGGTTTGTATCCCAGCTGGGACACTTGGTGTATCCTCTTACAGTGTTACATTGATCCCTTCAAAATAACATGTAATTTTATATTTACTAATATGATATCAGTATTTTCCTTTCCTTAAGTTTCTTTGGAAACTCCCTCTAGATCTAAAGCAGTGTCAGGTTTGATTTTATTTCAGGCTTCATTTAAACTAATTCAGCTGTTTCTGAGACCAGACTGCAGCCACTCTATCCCTGATGGCTTGTTTCCCAGCTCTATCACCCTTACCTGAGTCCAGTTCCAGTAGGTCATTAGGACAGCCCATTTCTTCACAGGGACCATTTCATATTTTGTGTGCATGAAACATGTCACTTGGTCAATAGTTGTGTGTACTTTCTGAATCCAAGCCCCCACGTGTTGTTTTTACATTGCTCTGGCAAAATTATTTCGCTATTAGTCATTTTTAAGTGTTAATAGAAAAGTAAATAGTATTTTTGTTTACACCGCTTTTATGTAATTTCCTGAAGATGTGTGTGCTGCTGAAATATGTCTTTTTTGAAGCCCTGACCAATTCCAGGCAAAACATGATTACGAATAGGGTATGACCTTTATTAATTTTTTTATTCTTCTAAAAGTAGGTCTGTTATCTTTCTGAATAGGTAACATGGAATGGACATCTTAACAACAAGAAAGAGTAACAATACAGGTGGGAGTTTGGGATTATCTGGGAAAGGTGAGTTTTCCCGTTCCATAGGAATTCAATTTGCTGTTTTTGCGACCTGTGCATAACTTCAGTAAAACACTAGAGGGCAACAGTGATTTTTGAATGCGAGCAAATAGACGTGAACATTTGCGCGACACGACCAGTAAGAACCAACAAGAGCATAACCAAAAACAGAGCAGTTTACTTTCTAAATAAAAATAGCATAAATTATACTTGTTTATTTTCAAAAATAAGGAAATTAATCTTTCATTCTTGACATACATAATCATTGTATTGTTTTTTTTCTATAATTGACACCTTTTAATTCTACAAGCAGAAGAGACACTGAAACCTACCTAGTACACAATAATATTTTTATATGTATAGATGATTAGAAGTTTTAATGAATTTCACAACTGATCGTTTCCATGTGGTATTTCAATATTCAGATACATGTTTTCCTCTCTTTGACACTTTTAAGCCTAGTACTATTCCCGACTATAAAAAAGTGTTGTTGTTTTTTATTGCAGTTCTGACAGAGTCTGTAACCACAACATCAAGACTGACAACCCTACCTCCAAGTGAGTAATGGCCCTCAGACCTGCAGTGAGCTCACTTGCTCTATCTGGTCAATATAAGTGATTTAGATTTTTGAGATAATTTGTAAACTTGTTGAATTTGCAGTTGAGGGGCCTCCTGAACAGCTGAGACAGTAAAGGCACTCAAGCCTTGGTCTTGACTGTAACAGAGCCTGCTTATACTCTATATAAACAATATGTTTGCCTTGACAAGATCAGTGGTGTCTTTGTTAGTGGGATTTCCCAGCGGACAGAAGTAACTGAGTGTTTGCCTCTGTTGTTTTTCACCCCGTCAGAGGGCTCCAGCGGCGGCGGCGGTCAGAGGGGTGGCTTCTCCAGCAGCTCTGGGGGTCTGGGAATGGAAAAGAAGTTCGTCACACAGAGCAGCACCAGCTATGTCACATCATGTGAGGAGCACACAGTGGCAACTCTCATCTTATTATTTCTGCCCCCTCCGGGAAAATACCTCAGAAACAGCCCTAAGCTTTCACAGCTGTTTCTACCTCAGCTTAGTACTCGGGTCTGTGGTGTAAACATCCAGTTAACTCCACAGACTCCAATCCAAAGTTTGGTAAAAGCATGTACGCTTATCGTGATTAGTTTTGTGTATTTCATAAGTTTTTAGTTTTCACCTTGAACTGTATGCAGGATTTTCATCCAGAAGATGTGTTAGCCATTTCAGTACTGTTGGCTGTGGTTAGTGGTTTAGACTGGCTGCTGCCAATGGCTGACTGGCCTGCTTTGCCCCTTCAGCTTCAGGGGGTGGTGGCTCGAGGGGGAACGCAGGCTCCTCCCGCAGAGCCCAGGGCTCCACCTCGTCCCTCAGTTACTCCCCTGTGTCCACCCTGGAGAGGAGGGGCATGACCAGTCGCTCAGGAGGATATGAAGGTGAGCTACGCGTTGCTGCTTCCTGCCGCAAGGAGGGAAGATGAGGCTTCTCTGTTCGCTGGCCAGTTAACATGACTCCTCACACGTATGGAATGAACTATCCTACTGATAACTGTACTCAAAGAAGAGACACCAAATTGCTTGAAAAGATGTTTTCAAAAGTGTCCTGCACCATGGTTTTTCTGATTCAGTGTATTCATGGGCTTATTGGGATTTCTCTGTATTATCCTTTCTGTGGATTCTTGTTTTCATGCGGTACATGCATCAGAATCAAAAGCCGGTCAATTAGAATTTTCTTTGCGGAGGTGTTTTTACTTTAGGTCAGGCTTCTTTTTCCAACTTCCTCATGCTCACCTATATGGCTCTGCATGGCTCGGCACCTCAGTACCTAAGGATAATGTCTGAACTATTATCGCCTTACTCCCCACCTCGCAACCTCCGCTCTTCAAATTCTGCCCTCCTTACTGTCCCCCAAGGCCGTCTACAGTGTATGGGTGACAGGGCCTTCTCCTGCTATGCCCCCAAGCTCTGGAACTCTTTGCCCAAGGATATCATAGAGTCACCTTCTCTAAACTCCTTCAAATCCAGACTCAAAACCCTCTTCTTCAGAAAAGCCTTTACTTAACTGGTTCCATTCTTCATCCCTCTGCTGTTCTTAGTACCAACATCTATGGTCTCCTCTGTATATTGTAATTGTGTCTTATCTTGTGTATTATACTTATTTATTGTTGTATTCTTCTTATTTATTGTTATTGTCATCCTGTAAAGCGCTTTGAAAAGCCACATATTAAGGTGCTATATAAAATAAAGTTTATTATTATTATGATCTTTTAACTTTAATTGTACAAGAATGAATTATTCATAAAATAAAGTAATATGTGTAATAAAATAACTTTTAGGTTTTAAAAAGGCAGTTTCTATGTATATAAAATCATAAAATAGCATGTGGAAACTGTGATTCTGACTGTATCTCAGTCCTTTTGCTTGTGATAATATGAAACAAAAACTAAAGCAAAACAAAAACAACATGACATAAAAAATTCACTGATGGAGTATTCACTGAATTTTGAAGAAATGTACTGTGACTCACTGGGGAACTCAGACAAATTAAACTAACTCCATCCTCTGTTTCCTTTTATAGGGTTTGAGTTTAATTTTAAAGTTTGTTTTATTAATACAAAATATATGTGTGATCAATATCAGGCTTTAATCTAAAACCGATATTACTGAGTAGGATGTTAGTGCTAGACTTTAGTCTTTTTGTGTTTCTTTTGAACCACATGGTTTGTAAAAGAGTTTTCTTATGGTTGTCATGGGATGTTTTTTTTTTAACATTTCTTTATAGGAAGTTCCAGTGGGAACTCTTCCCCTGAGTACACAAGAAAAGAGTTTGGTAAGAATTCCAAAAACCATCTTACATACTGAATTTTCTACTATACAAACCACAGAATATACTATTAGAAACAGCAGTGTGGTGGCGTGGTGGCCAGCAGTAAGTACTGCTGCCTCAATGTTCAGTTTAGCCTGGGAACCATTCTGTATGAGGTTGCACATTCTCCCAGTTTGGGGGATTATGTGTGGAGTTTGCATGTTCTCCTTGTGTCTGTGCGAGCCTTTTCCAGGTGCTTTGGTATCTCCCACTTCTCAAAGACATGATGGCTAGATTAACTGGTTTATCTAATTGTCCCTATGTCCATGTATGTGTGTATCCTGTCCAATGTGTCCCTTACTAGGACTATTTGGTTATCTCATGGACAACAGATAGCTAACCTTGAATAGAACAGTACCAGTAGGGTTTTTATAAAGGTATTGTTTGACTCTAGCCTTTCCTGTCCCTCGCACTGCAGTTGTTTTTGTTTACAGCTATTTAGTTATAGAAATGCATCAATTAGCAATAAATCAAACATTGAACAAATTGGTTGTCCAAGCATTCTGCAGCATGGATCAGAATCACCTGTGTGTAGACAGGGAGTCTATAAACATTGTGTAGGAGTTCAGACATGCAGTAAAGACACCCACTTCATGGACCTGATAGTAGATTAATATCAACAAACTCTTAGTACACTTTTATTAAAACCAACAGTATTTTTTGTATTCTAAACATACATCCCTAATCATATAATGGTTATATTACTGTAACTTAAGATATGTTACATTTGTAAATCGTATACTGGTTATGACTGAAGTTAGTATGATATTCATATGTGTGGTTTCACTTTCCTGCAAGTCAATTGACATTGAAAGTTTTCAGCAGCTGGCAGATTACATGTTCAGTGTCTGGTGAGCTTTATACCATTGTAACATATACCTGTTCGTTGTTTTTACCCACAGGAAGCTCAGCCACCCGAGGGAGGAGCCAGAGCAGAGGTAAAGGTGGTGATATTAAGCTTCTAAACAGCTTTGTGCATTGTGTCATTCCTGTAACAAATTCAGTTCGTGTGGTGTTGTCTCCACAGTGATAATATAATAATATGCCTGAATAATATTCAGTGAGTGTTTCTCCCCCAGTAAACAGGTTTATATGTGAAGAAATATTTGATCTAAATGAAAGAGACCTGAAAATTAAGCCTGAAAAGGGAATATTCTGTGATATTATCTTCCAATACTTTCATTGTTTTATTTACTAGTTTAGCATTTTTTGAGTAACTTAAAATGCTTAATTGCCCACTTTCAAAAACATACCAGGGTTTTTCTTCTGTAAAGGAAGGTGTGAGGCCATTTAAGGATGTAAGAGGCTATAAGGATGCAAGAGGCCACAGATTCCACCCACACAGGGAATCATCTGAAAAGGACCCTTTGAAATAAGATTGGTTGTCATTACTATCATATTTCAGTCTTTATGTGCACCTCTGAAGCAGGCAGTGCCCGATGAGCAAACTACTCTTTGAACTGTTTGCCTGTATTGTGTGCTTTCAAAAACTCTTTCTTCTTTTTCAGAGAGTGAAATCAGAGCAAGGCTGCAGAGTGCCTCTCCATCTACTAGATGTAAGTACAGAGAAAATAAGGAAAGAGAGTTTTGAAGATAGGGGCATCACGGAGGGTGGTCAGCATGTGTGCCTGATCCTCCCCTGCCCCCCTCCGGGACCTGTCTTTCAGGGACTGAATTGGACGATGTGAAGAGGCTGCTGAGGGGAAGCCGGTCCGCCAGTGTCAGCCCCACGCGTTCCCCCTCCAACACCCTGCCTATCCCCAAAAAGGCAACTGTGGAAACGAGGATTGTGACTGAAGGTTCCCAGACAGGTGTGTCTCAAGCAGGACCTGAGGCAGAACTCTCAGTTGAGAACGGAGGGTAATATTTAGAGGGCGGGTTGAAGAAGTTTGGAGTGTTGGTTATGTTACAAAAACCCTCTTGCTATGATACTTTTGATTGTCAGGAAACTACAATTGAATTATGCTAAAACTCCTGAAAAACATTTCAGTTTCCAGTTTATTTGGATCTTCCTTTATTGTCACTTTAAATTATGTTTCCTGTTTTGGAAATTGTTAGACTTTAACATACTATAGCAGGCTTCGCTTATTTTAAATTTGTCTTTCGGGAACTCTGCAGTAGCTTGTTTCCGTGTGTTCTTTTACATTTGAAGGGAATGGCTCCTACTGCTCTTGCTAGCCCTGGGGATTGTGTTACATTTTGATAGGATGTTATATAGGAATAATGTGAGCACATAACAGGTTTTACAGACCAAAGGAACCCTCTGATATTTATAATATCTAATCTAATTTAGCTAGGGCTTTATGGTGGATATTTCCACATGATCACAGAGCACTGAATTCAATCTACTTTTCCACTGGGAGGTCACTCAGTATCCTTAAAACATTTAAGAGGGTTGCTGTGGATCATCATGTTGCAGCAGAGCAAAGCACAGTGGGGTACAATGTAATCCATGTAAATCAGTGTTTTAAAACTTTGGAAAACCATTTCAATCTATGGAGAAGACTGTTGGCAATCCCAGCACAGCAAAGGATGTAAAAAGGTTGATCCATGGTAAGGTTGTGGGGTATGTTTTTAAAATAACCACAAAAATCAGTTTTAATAAACTCCAAACAGCACAGATGGGCTGAATGGCTTCCTCTCATTTGTAACATTTCTTATGTTCTTAACTCAGAAAAGTTGAAAATTGAAAGAAAATGGCTGGCATCAACAAGGAATACAAAACGAAAACACCAGTGTTTTTCCTATATTGTTTTCCAAATACCCACAAAATCACATCTCCTGTTGAGAAACCAACAGACCTTACAGTAGGTCCTCATAATGCTCAGACAGGAACATGTGTTACAGACCTGTAAAATGTAGAAAGTGTTCGTTATTTCAAGAGTAAAACAGATGTTTTGGTCATCCTTACTGAACACATGATGTTTCTTAAATTGCAGACCTGTTATTTGCTAGAGTAACTACATGGCTTTACTTGGTGTTGCAGTTTCAGGACAGTATGACACCACTATCCTGGAATCTGCCCTGCCCTCCTACATGTGGGCGAGCTCCACTCTGCCCACTGGCTCATCCCTCATGAGTGGGTACGGCTTCCAGGCCAGCCCGAACAACCTGTCACCTGGATCGTCGCTTCTGAATACTAATGCCCCCTCCTCTTTATCCGGTCAGTCCCACCACACTGTAATCTTACAGGGTCTCGTGATTGGTGGTCTTCGATCAGAAAACTAAAAGTGTCCAGCTGGAGACTACAGGAAGACAGATGAATCCTGCTTTCCATAATAGGATTTTATTGTAATGTTCTAATCCTAGGCCTCTCTTTTTTCATATGTTTCATATGTTTTATGTGCTGTGAATTGCACTTTTAGTTCTTCTTCCAAGCATTTCTGTGTGCAGAGCAAGGCTTTGGGGTTTCAATACATACAGTTATGTCGCACACAGCGTCTGTTTGGGGTTTACAATGCTGTTGCATTTTTGGTTTGGGGTTACCGCTTTACGTACCTAGGTACCTTGGGGGGTGTTTGGAGTTCTGTGTCAGTGAAGAGTTATGCACAAATAAAGAGCAGACGTCTGCGAAACCTGTCCACCTCAGTGCCTGGTTTTCCGCGGTGTAACATGTAGGATTACTGACTTCCCTTTCTTCTGTTGTGTGTTTGCCTGAATCCTTGCAGTGCATGGTGTCCCGAACAACCTGGCGCTGAGCCCCCAGCTGAGCAGCAGTCTGACCACCAGCAGCACAGGTCAGTCCTGCTGCTCCTCTGTACCCTGGCAGAACCACTGTGTGTCCAGCTCTGTATCACTGGGGCTCTCTGGGAACTTGAAGAGCTCCTTTTCAGTCGCGTCTGCTTTTCCTAAGAATAGAGCATTGGAGCAGCAACACATTATTGAATGCACATACTGCCATGGGTCTTATGCTCCAATTAGAATTCTCAACTGAGAAATTCTAAATTATATACTGTACACTCAAATACCCCTACAGTGAAAGCTTAACGTCTGGTTAGGATCTATTAACAGTAAAAAGGAGGAATAATAAAAAAAACAAGTTTTCTGCTTAAAACCAGACCTGCAGAATGATCACAGCTGGGGAAAAAAAGGTTCATTTTTTAACAGTACATTAAAATAATTTATGTTGGATATGACTGATTTCTTTAATATGCAGGGGATTTGCAATTGTATTATTTAGAACTAAAAATGATCATGAGAAATACTAAAGTTTAAACTATAATCGCTAAGGTTTGAACTTGCACGATACCTAATATAAATATTTCAGAATAAACTGGAGGATGCAGCTAGGTTAAAATCAATATGTCACAACAGTCAGGTCATTAATTTATATGGGGATGCACAAGAAGGGGACTTCCCTAAACTACTTAAATAATTAAGTTAAAAAATAGTGTTTACGACAAAAGCATAACCATATTCTACTGGATCCTAAAAGTTTAGGTGTAATTTTACATTGTAAAATATACTTCTTAAATTGTATTAATGTATAGTAAGACACCTTCACATTTTCTGCTTTCTGTATCATATCCTTCCTCAGTGTATGGTGTTCAGAATAACCTGACAAACAGCTCCAGTGTCCTGGCCAATTCCAATGGACCACACAGCCAGCCAGGTACGGTCTCATTGATTTTCAGTAAAATATAGTGAGGTAGATATTGTTACATTTTCAAGCTTCAGTTTCTGATTCAGTGCCATTTGCTGAACCTTAACAAATATGGCTTTCTTGTACTATACAAATTAAAGCAAAGTTCCAAAATTATCCATTCTCACTTTATAATGGTACATGTGAAAATGAATTAGTTTGGCTGTCTTTTGTTCAGTTACTCTTACTTAAGGTAGAGATAAGTAAAGTTGGGATGAAGTACTGTAGTTGTAGAACACCAGGTATGTGACTGACACACTTCCACACTGATCAAGCCACACAAAGCTTTGCTTTCCTTTATGGAAATGAAAATCATGCATGTAAATGCCTACCAACATAACAATTCAAATCTTTTTCAAGTCCTCTTCCACCAGGTGATATATTTTCTTTGTTAATGAGTGAAATGCTAAATGTAATTGTAATATAATAATATAATCAACAAAATAATAATGTTGCATTGTCATGCATTAAATTGGAATGAAATGCTGTTTTTTTAAATGCAGTCATTTGTGAGGACAACAGATCTCTTGCATACATGCAAAATTTTAGTCTGAAATCCTTGTATAAGATTTCCTCTATTTAACTTCTAATACAGAGAAGAATGAAGATCTACAATATTATTTGAAAACAAGCTTGATATGATATTGCTTTAAAGTACATTTCCAAAGCTAATTAAAATCTAGAGGCATTAAGAAGAGCCTCGCCATTAAAAAGGTCTTCTTCAATGTGCAGCAGTACTAGAACAAACCTGTTTGTTCTCATGGGTGCTGTGTGTGTCCTTGTCTCACAGTGTACGGGGTGCAGAAGAATGTGTCGCAGACAGCCAATGGCTCAGCGGTTGTCAGCACTGGGGTCTCCACATCGTCTGGTGAGTCTGAAGAAAAGGGCATAGGCACTGAGTGTAGGTCTGTTGAAGAACAATTGCCCATGCTGTTAGTGTCAGAAGCTATGTAGAGTATGTTTCATTCTGTTACGGTCCCTGTGTTAAATCTGCTTTTTGCGTAGCCAAATGAGAGGAATTAATATGGGGAAGCATCTGAGTGGTGCACCTTTTCACGTCCGCATGTCACCCTCGCTGGATTCATTGCTGGTTTATATCCCTTGTGGATGTCTACACTTCTGTCAGAACTTCTTTTAAAAGGTGTTATTTTCCTTGAATAGTTAATGTTTCTAACTAACTACTGTATGCAGGTACAAATCTCACACATTTGTATTTTATGGTTAGGTATTTAATGAGAGGAGAATGCAGTGGATGGAAACTGCTGTTTGAGGTCAGTCCAAAATGTGCAGGCAGCCAGTGAGGGAAGGCCGCAGTCCCAGAGAACAGTGGTTCACGCCCTGTGTTTGTCCTCCAGGTGCTCCAGCTAGTCCCCACAATGATGATGTCTTCCGGAAGGACTACAAGTTCCTGCTGTTGGAGAAGGAGAACGTGCCCTCCAAGAAGGACACAGAGCTCCTCATCATGACCAAAGACAGCGGGAAGCACTTTACCAGCACTTCCATTGCAGGCGGTGGTGAGCATAGCTCCACGGGCCATTGACGAGCTGCGGCCCCACTCATGTTCACTGTGGTTCAGAAACGTCAAGTAAAACGGGACCCTGAACACTACAGCTATTACTTTCTTATATCTTGCTCAAGTTTAATTAGAGCTGAGGGTGTCTAATTTACTCAGGCATTATGACTTTTTGATAGTCATTTGACTTTATACTGTATGATGCTTTTCTCATAGCTTTAATTCAGTGTAACACATTCTGTAAAAATATAATATATTTTACATTGAATACATATCTTAAAATTGTTCAGTGTTTTTCCTTTGAGAGTTTTTTTTTTTTGTGACTGGTAAGTGTCATAGCAAGGTGTTATTTTTTATTTAATTGGACCAAACTAGACAGGTATAAAATCCAGAAAATGTGTGTGCCACACACATTCAAAGAGTAGTATGCACATCGGGCACTGCCTGCTTCAGAGGTGCACATAAAGACTGAAATATGCTAGTAATGACAAACAATCTTATACCACAGGGTCCTTTTCAGATGATTCCCTGAAGAAAGAGAAGATGGTAGTGTCCAGCTCGTCAGATGCTGCCACGTTGAAAGCTGACACAAATGCATACTGTAAGCACAACATTACCCATTAACGCAAGGAAAACTAAAGATCACCAAAAGAACTTCATGTCACGTTCAAATTGCTCAGTGTTTTAAAAGAGAGTTGGTGATGTTCTAGCAAGTCAAAATGGACTAACTTAAATAAAGCTACAGATAAAATCACTGCATTTTGTGGTGGTTATTTCCTACCCTGAAAGTTTCCTTTTTCATATTAGATTTAAGGATTTGTTGGTTTATAATAGTAAAACATTAACAAGACATTAGTAAACCTCTGGAAAACACTTTTTCTTTCAGATGGGTCCCATAAAGTATCAACCAAAGACAAGGCAACATATGCAGGTAAGGAATGTTCTGTCTACTGTATATCAATATATGCATGAAGAAAGTACTTTATTTCTTACACTTACTATATATACAAATTTATATCAACTGTATATACATTTTCCACTTTATAGAGGAGACTGATGTAATATATTGTTTTATATATATATTTTTGAGATTCAAGCAAGGTGTTTGAAATTCAGTTGATTGTATTCCCATATCGGTGTATGATTTACACGCAACACCTGATATTGTCACTGAAAAGAACATTATTTATTGCTATGAACATACCTGCATTTTATCTTTAAATGGTCCTCAATAATTAGAATGGAATTACCCAATAATATAGCATGTATGTCTCTCCCAGGTACATAACAGACATTATGGGCATGAAGTGCTGAACGTTTGCACGAATGCTGTTGTTTTTAAATTTTGGAACAAACAATAAGGAAAACTAAAGCAAGATTAAACACAAGACCAAAATCAATTCCCTGCATCCTTTTAATTTCCTTTACAAACTTCTCCTACACTACAAATGTATGTTTTTCTCTTTCTCGAAAATAAAATCTGGCTCAGTACGATTTCTGTGTTGAATAAAGTGATGAAGGCAGAAATAATTTAAATGATGTAATGTGCTGAGAAAGCAAGCAGACAAATAAACCTAACTAACAATAGAGTGAAGAATACAATGTCTTTAGCCACATGAAAAGGAAAGCTAATCTGATTTGTGGATCAATGTGTCAGTATCCAACACCTTCAACCAGGGAGTCAAACACTGGGCCCTACTTTCCATTGCTAACCAGGTCTTGGATACCACCTGCTGTTTTAATGTTCAATAGAGTTCAAATTTCACAGTTAAGTAATAGCCTAGACGTTTGGTTTTGGCAATGCAGAGGAATAGATTTGAAGGACAAGTATTACAGAAAGCATTAAAGCTCTAAATACACCTCCAAAGCTGGCACCATGTTTTAAATATGACATTGTGTTTATTTCCCCTCTCCCCCTCTCTCCTGCTTCCCAGAGATCCGAAAGGACAAGGATTATGATGACGGAGGCGGAGGTGGCGGTGGCTGCTGTGGAGGAGGCGACTGCTGCAGCTGGTGGAAGTGGCTGCTGGGATTGCTACTGGGGCTGCTGCTGCTCCTCGGCCTGCTCTTTGGACTCATTGCTCTGGGTAAGACAGCTGTGTCTGTCGGTCAGATTAAAGAAACTGAATAGAACTGCATTCAACAGCTCCTAGAAAATGTAAGCAGATTTAAAATTAAAAATTTCAATTTTATGCAAAATTGTTTGGGTTCCATGCCGTGAAATTGTGTGGGATTTAATTCCCCTGCTTTCCTCCTTGCTGGTTGTATCCCTGATGGCGTGCTGCAGCGGACGAGGTGAAGAAACTGAAGTCGCGCGTGGATGCCCTGGAGGGTTTGTCGTCTAGTACCAACTACTTGAAGTCCGTCAATGTTATCGACCCTCAAGACCCGGTCTACTCTGACAACCGTGACAATAGCATCAACCTTGGTGCTGGCCCTGGCACCGACAGTATGTCATTGCAGATGACAGTCCAGCAGCTGGTGAAGTCTGAGCTGCAGTCTGAATCAATGAGATGTACGTACAGGTCCTGCCTTCTTGGTTTGACCCAGCTGGCTTATTATAATTTCTCATTTCTGATGTTCTCAAGCACATTGCATGACATTTCTTGCTCCTGCTGTTCAATTGTCTAACAATGGTATGGCTTTTCCAAAAACCAGGGGACAACTTTTTATATGCGTGTTGGCAACACATTTTCCAAAAAACAAGTACTGCCTCTAACCATGTGTATAGTATCCAGTTTGTCTCTGCCTGCTTTGCCCCTCTGTTAATATGAGCTGACAGTTCGTAAACGATCGAAGCATTTTGTTCTGAAATAAAGTCCATTTATGTCCTTTTCCCTTGTTCTGCCTATGCGTGCTGACGATCTCTCTACTTATTTTCCAGCAACACTTGCTACCGTAGTCAAAGGAGAGAGAGGACAACCTGGACTCAAAGGTAAGAAGAAATTTAATATAACATTTCAGTATTAAGAAACAGTGGCAGTGCAAGTTAGAGATGTGAAGTTTAAGTCTTTTGCCATTCTGCAATGTTAAGACACACAGATTTTCTAATGCGCAGATGCTTTTCTAATTACAATGTGTAACAGACAGAGGCAGGTATTCTAGAGTTTATCGTTACTACAAGAAGCTAGCTAAATGGGTTAACTCTTTTTTCCAAAACAATATCAGTATTTTAATTACATTTTTCAAAACATTTAGGTGATACAGGAGCCCCAGGACCTAAAGGTGAGTTGTTTCTAATGTTAATGTTTGTGTTCACCATTTCACAAAAGTTAAAGTGTTGCTTCTCTCTTTGTCATCTGGCCAGTGAAGGTGTCTGCTGTGTAAACCAGTCTGCTAATTCAGTTTAATTTACTCCTGTTACCAAAGGGGATCTTCTGATTCAAGCACAGCTTCGTGTATGTCTGCTTGTACATCCTCTGTGCAGTATCCGCCTTATGTCAGTTTCAAATGCTGTGTTTGTGCATAGTTAAATCTGAGCATTTTTATCAGAAAATTAAACAATATGGGTAATTAGTATTAAGTATTAAGTAAGTATTAAGGTACAGCATTAGTTGTTTTACAGAAACTCCTTTAACTTTAACTTGCATTGTATGCTTTAATTGACCATATTGCTGTCTTACGCAGGTGATGCTGGCTCCCCTGGCATACCAGGTAAGAACATCACAGTCAGTTCTAGCCTTGATATTGGACTACATTTAAAATGCACTCTTTTATAGACACTCTGGAAACAATGGAAATGCTTAAAACATGCTTATTTTTTCAAGGACATATTTTACTGACTACTGAAATTTAACTTCTTATATCTCATGTCCAGGTCTTCCGGGTGTAATCGGACACACAGGACCACAAGGGCCCAAAGGCCAGAAAGGCAACTCAGGTAAAGGGAGAGGGAGGCGGTGAACGCTGACAGCTGACGGCTGCCAGTCTCTGTAAAGCTGGGTGCTTTAATGAAGGGCAGCATCTGTTTCAGATTTTGTTGTGAACCATTATTGTATAGCATGTGCATTATTTTCACCTTACATTTTAATAGAGTTCCTTACAAGAGCAAAGCCTATATAATCACCTATATAATCAGCCTAGGAATCAACTTAAAAGTACTCTTTTTTAACCACAAAAATAACTGCCTTCACCACACAGAGGTTTTAGCTTGAAAAACTGTCATTTTATGAATACATCTTGCAGGTTCTCCAAATGTTCCAGATAACCTACCGCCTTACTTTGGTACTGATCTAATAGCTTCGTCTCAGTCACGTAGTGTAAATAAATTCCAAAAAGTGATTTATCCCAGGCAGCCCATTTCTGGTCAAAGCAGCAAGCCTCTGTCCTGTTTGCAGGTGAACATGGAGCAGAAGGCCCACCTGGACAGAGGGGTCGTGAGGGGCCGGCAGGCCCCCGTGGAGAGCCAGGACTGCCTGGGTTTGGAGAGAAGGGAGACAAGGGTATGAGTTTGATGGACCTCTCAAAGGCTTCTACAGGTTCTGTGTATTAATAGAGTATGGTGTGGGAGCTTGATACACTACATCTGGAGCTGAAAAGAGGAACAGTCACTCACACCAAAGTATTTTTCAAAATTTTGAGATTTTAAGTAAATTTTTATTTCCTTGACCAGTTTCCATGTCCTCAACTTTTAAATGCCCTTTTCTGAGACAGGTTCCATTCCAGATGTCATTGTCATTTATATTCCTTTGAATTATTTCACATCTGCAAACACACGTGAAGGCTCTTCAGATCATGTTGTTTTCATTTTGTCATTCAGCTTCGAATTCGAAGAACAAACCATGGATCATGATTCTGCTTCTCAACTCATCTTATGCTTCTTTTCAACTTTAAAGAGATCTTAAAACTTAAAGTGGCAAACAACTGGATAGCTTTAGAAAATGCAGTACAGTTTTATTGGAAGCCTTAGTTTGGTGCTGATACAGCACTATGTCAGATGTGTTTGGTTTTCCTATAAAAAACTTACATAAACTTGATTGGTTTTGTTGACACCTGATGTGCGATCTGTGCAACCGTGAAGGAAAGCAGAAATGTATTCATACCCTTTCAGGCTCTTCTGAAGCTCTTCACCCACAATTGTTGGAAATATAGAAGAACCTTTCATGAGGTTTCTGAACTTTGACCTTTGCTCTTTTAAGAATGCTCCCCATCTTGCCTCTGTGCTCACAGGTTCGAGTGGTGAACCAGGAATTCCAGGGCCTCCCGGATTAGTTGGTCCTATGGGACAGAAAGGTAAAACCTCCTCCATTGTGGTAGTTGATCATTTTCTTCCGAGGAACAGTACAAGTTTGGTGTTAGTTGTCAGGATTTATAATATAAAAGGAATTCACTTCTCGTTCCACAACAAGCTTCTGAGATATTTTAGTAAATATTTCACAAAGGATAAAGACCAGGCTCAAACAGCTTCAAGACTTAAGCTGTGTATGTACGAAAATTACATTTGATAAATTCAGGGTGATGAAAAGAAGGTAGCTATTTGTCAGCTGTCAAAATTGGTTCTTGGTCCTGCATTCAAACAAAATCTACATGTGGTTCATATTCAAGAGAATGATAAGTTGAGTGGCCTTCTCTTGTTTGTTACATTTCCCTGCTCTAACAAACTTTCCTCCCCAACATCTTAGGTTCGATAGGTGCTCAGGGTCCTCAAGGAGTGCCAGGTGAGTGACTGAAATGTTCATTTCCTTCATTTGTTAGTGAATTCATTTCAAGATTTTGAAAGTTATCAGTTTAACTGTACATTCTGCACTGCTCTTTTCTCAGGTTCACCAGGCCCACAGGGTTTCCGTGGTGAGGCGGGAATGCCTGGTCCCAGAGGTTGGTCATTGATACAAGCCTTCAAGGGGCAGTGTGAACATAGAGCATGTTTCTGGGAAAAGACAAATATGCTATTATTACTGGCCTGGATATCTTTATCTTTAATAATACATCTTCTGTATCACAAGGCTAAGCAGGCCTTTTTGAATGAACTCCATTGTCTTTGAAATATCCAGTTACTTCTAAATGTTCAATTGCCATTCGATTTCCTTTGGGATTAATGGCCTCTTTACTGGACTTCACTCTGCACACCAAATTGATACCCAGCACACACATTCTTGACACTTTTCCCTTAGTGTACATTTTCAAGTGGCCAAAGAATCCAAGCACTCCATGCACTACTTCCAATGATTGTTAAATTACTGCAGGTACAGTTGGTGCATTGTTTTAATGACTCTGATGATCTTTACTCGCTCTTGGTGGTCTCTCACCCACACTCAAACTTTTGCAGAAACACAAAAGATCTCACAAAATAATATACTTTGTTAAGTTGAATGAGATTCTGGCTAAAGAAGAAAATAAAAGCCCAGATATCAGCATTTCTGTTTTTACATACTGTACCTAAATAAATCCCACACACAATATGATATGTATCTCATACAGAGGAGAGAATATGTCCTGGTATTTTGTACAGTTCTACCATAAATCCTTGCCTTTCTCTGCAGGAGATAAAGGATTTGCTGGGCCTTCAGGACAAAAGGGTATGTTCATTAGACAGAAATAAACAGTCATATCCCATCTCAGGTTTATGTATCAGTTCAATAATATTCAGAACTCAATCTACAGTCTGTGTTAATTTATACTATTTACCGTTTATATTATAAAAAGTCTGACAATTTTCTTAAGTCTCCTAGCATTTTAAGGCACATTCTGTATGGATTTTGATCACATTCCAATATGTGAAGAATTAGTGTACACAGTCTGAGTATTGGTGTAATTTATGGGCCAGATTCAGTCTGTGGTGCTGCATCTGGTAATAAGTAATAATAAGTCTTAAGTAAGGCTGACATCTGCTTCCTTCCCCAAACTCTAGATGTCCCTTCAGAAAGAGACCATATTCTCAATGGGTTGAATCAAAGCCCTAATATTTATGAATAAACTAACATTTTCTTTCTATGAGTAAATGAAGTATTGGGAGACCTGACCTTCTCTATCCCCACTTTCCCCCCTAAGGGTTCAAAAACGATACCCAGGCTTGTTGAACTCTGAGCACCATTGTATTATCTTGATTTGGCTATTCTTACGCTATGGCTGATCCGATTAAGTAATTCCTTGCTGTAACTGATTTTTGTTACTGCAATCTTTATTTGCCTTTATCTTGTGCAGGAGATCAGGGTGAGAAGGGACCTCGTGGACCTACAGGTGTGTAGTGGTGCTGCCGGCCACTATTGTTATTTTATGTCCTCATATTGTATTATAAAGCACTCATGTTACATGAGATAGCACTCCCCCAGAGGCAGTGAATCAGATATTGTTAGACCTTCAAAGCTGTTACTTGAATGTAACTAAGGAGAGTCTGACATGAATTGTTTTAGAGCTTCTAATTTTTTAAGTCCCAACCTCAAAACAAGTGCAGTGATGCCCTTTAAGATGTACTGATGATGCCAGCTATTCTGTGAGGCCTTCCGAGGCTTGTCCTAATCCAGACATGACAGCGAATTCAACCTCCACCAATTCTCAGAATTGCCTCCAAATTTGATTCTACACGAGATACAGCCAGAATCAAGAAGATAACCTTTTCCATTAAATCATTTGCATGATGTACCAAACAAACCTTGCATCAGAATGATTATCTAAACACGGATGTGAGGAGGAAAATGTGTTGCACAATAATGTTGCTTCACTGGGAGTTCGGCTGAGCTCTAAAGGAGCTGGTGGTCTTTTTTCCCTCAGGTGACCCGGGACAGAGAGGGCTCCCAGGACCAACTGGAGAGGCGGGACCTAAAGGATCTGCTGGTGAGTAATGCCAAGGGCAGAGGAAGAGAGAACTGAACCAATACTGAGAGCACAGAGTCTGGGCCAGCCTTTCATACAGTACCTGCATGTACAGTATGGCTTGACTCTACATTGCAGTGTTTTTGTTTAATTCTTGAACTGCTTCAAACTGCTAAGAAGAATACTTCAAAAGCAGTTTAAATTTAGTATTTTTAGTAAATAACTGAACATTTAATGAAATAACTGTACATTTAGGAAAAGAAAAAAAACATAATTATGCTGAAAACAACTACATTATATCTGATTTGCAACAGCTCATACAGTTAATTTAAACTTTGGTGCAAGTTCTTTGAATTAATGTAAGGAGGACAGTTAGTACTTACTATTCACAATCACAGCTAAATGGTGTGAAATGTCTGTGGTTTTCTCTGGATTTTTTTCACAATTGTATTTATTTTCTTTGTGGTGTTCACACAGGTCTCACCGGTAACGATGGACTCAAGGGCTCCAGAGGTAAAGCACAAGTTCTGTTACATAGAGCATCATATTATTAGGTCTTAAAAACAAAAGTACCACAGCTGACTTGCTCAGATAGGAACTGCATTGCCAGGTGAGCTGTGCCCACAGTAAGGGACACTGATGTTTCTGTCTGCTTTTTAGAAAATTTAATCATCGGTGTGTCAATGTGTTACGTTAAAGGTGTTTGACTTTATGCTTAACTCCTCTAGATGAAAATACACCTGTGTCAGACTTGGTTTTATAAGCTTACTGGAAAAATCTCAGCATTCTGAAACATGAACACAGCTTGATGGGCTTTTAAAATACATCATGTAGGTGACCAGGGACCAATCGGATTGCCAGGAATCAGAGGACCATCAGGCCCTCCTGGAGATGTGGGCCAACCAGGTACCAGCTCGTCTCATTGGGTGTATTACTGTTTTCAGCCCAAAGGCCCCACAAGCCTTTGTGTGTGTTAAGGTGTTACTGTACAATTGAAATAAACTCCACACATACAGTACATAAACCATCCTTCAGCCAGCTTTGATTGAAGATTTGTGTTCATTGACTTGGTTGCAACCTTTTTTTAAATCTTTTTAAATTCACTTTTTTTAATAGTTCTACCAGCAAAGCAAACTGATCTGACAGCATCTAAAGTCAAGCTCTAGCTGAGGAATGAAAAAGGAGTTACTCTGAAGCAAACACAGCCATGTGTATATTTTGACCGATTGAAAATGTCATAACCACATGAGACAATAGTTTTCAAGTTCTATAGCAGTACTTTGTTTTGTGATTTCAAGAATCTGTTTATTGATACTGCTTTCTTTCCCTGCCAGGCCTTCCTGGATTACAAGGACCACCAGGTACATAAATACACATAACAACAGTACACATAAGAAGTGGGAATGGTTTCTACCTTGATCTTGACAGGGGTTATTCCTCATCACATGTTATGGTGGCCAGACATGTAAAATATATGTGGCTCAGTAAGATCATCATTACCAGATTAGCAGATTAATATTCAGAGTGATCAAGTGTACAGAGAAGGATAATGTGGATAGATTTTATAGAGTAAAGAGTGCCACTAACACACTGTACAGTATATATACAATAGCACATTGCCATGGAAAATCTTTAAATTAAGGTTAAATGAGTACTTCAGGGTTGATGTTTCTAAGAATTCTGAAAATGACTTCTTGCTGCAGGACTACCAGGAAACCCAGGCCAGCCCGGAGCTAAAGGTAATGTGATTATTAATGTAATTACTGTATTTATATGAGTAATTATTGCTGATTATTACTGTTGTTAGTGGTGGTAACATTTTTGTAGTCTTCTAGTGAATTTACTGTGGCTTATGAGAAATTATCCTTTGATGTCCAAAATTATTCTATCAAACTCATTTCTTTAAAACAAATGCATATTTCTAATGATACAGAAAATGTTATATGTTCAATGAGGCCAGAAACTTGTGTATAATAGTCAGGCTAATCTTAAATTCTTAATACAGAATGCCATAATGGGTTTTTTTAAGTATGTGTGTCATGAAGCTGTGGCTTATCAGATGACCAGAGGTCTTGAATAGACAAACAATTTTTAACTGGGAAGTGCACAGTGCTTTCCTGCTGTCCATTGTTAGCTGGTTTATCAGTGAAGCACAACAATGTTATTAAGGCTGCCAAGGTCAATGTCAGACTGGCTGTGATATGTGACTAGACTGATGCTTTCTTTTAGGCGATGCGGGTGAACCAGGCAAAGTCATTAATGCAGGTAAGAAAAAAGGTCTGCTTACCACCAGCTTAATTCTCATCTTGCTAACTAGAAACATCAGACGTCAGAATTACTGTGAGAGGAGAAACCATCACCTTGACACATGGAGAAAATAATATACAGTACTTAAATCTTACTTCATAATTGTACGGACAGAACAGAACCCGCAACAGCGTGGGGCTCAGTTCTGACGATCGAGAACACATGGGCATGTTTCCCTTTCGCTTCATAAGTGATGAAGTGTTCTTGTGACTCTAAGTAGTTTTTATGCTCCTGTGAATCCATTTCATCATTCTCCACAGTGGCAATATGAGAATTTGCTGTATTTGCCCTATTGCCAAATGTAGCTGGTGTAACTTTTTTTTTATTTTTAAATGCAGCTTTACAATTATGATGATGATTATTATGCTTCACAGCTACTTTAAAAATCAGATTAGTCCCTGTACTTTAACAGTGGAATACAGAATTTGTTACATATGTTTTTGTTATATGCATTTTTTTTAACTGATGCACTGTTCAGTAATTAGTGTGGTGGAAGTGAGGGCTCATGTCTTAGGAATACGTGGTTTGTTGTCCAGCCATGTAGCAGTTAATGTAGCTTCGGGAATGGTCCAGGAATGTTAGCTCTGATTTTGAGAAGCTCCTGACTTTTTTGCAGCGGGATCTTCCTCTGTGGCTATCCCAGGACCCCCAGGGATCCCTGGACCTCCCGGACAACCCGGTCCCCCAGGACTGTCAGGTGAGATCAGGACTCGTCTTCACACGCTGAGACAGAGACCTTGAGTTTGTGTCCAGCAAACATCACTCCATTCACCTCAGTTACTACAATGTACTTTATGTATACAGAATTGTGCAAAATAGTTTGGGGTTAAAAGAAGAAAACAGATTCCAATTACATAGATTCGATTCAGATTATTCATATAGTAACTGGATCCCTGGTCTGTGCGGTGGCAGTTTGATAATTTATTATCAAATTTTATTTAATTTTACTTTTATTTTTTATTCCTCCCCAAAAAACTCTGTTGTACTTGTATCTCTGCAGGTCCCATTGGTCCTGCTGGACTTCCAGGACAGCCAGGTAAGTAACTCATGTCCATTAGATAGTGCAAATGATAAGACATGCTGGAATAATAATATAATAATAATTCCTTACACTTACAGTGCCTTGCGAAAGTATTCGGCCCCCTTGAACTTTTCAACCTTTTGCCACATTTCAGGCTTCAAACATAAAGATATAATTTTTTTATTTT